TCCTGGAATTCAGCTTTATGTGATTCATTCACCTCTAACAAGAAGAAACAGTAATTCATTAAGCAAAGTTCTGAGAGAGCCACAAATCAAAATGCTGCTTTATTGCAGCCACCATCAGCCTTGCTATGGCACATTTCTTCCTGGCCCTGTTTTTCTGTCCTGCTACAGAGAAATTATTGTTGAACACTAGGGATTAACCATGCCTGCTAATGCCACAGCGTCTAACATAACAAGATGCTTCACACTTCTATTATGCTCTCCAATCCAGAATTTTAAGCATGTTTTAATGGAAGTTATCTTCACAGCACCCTAACACAGCAAGGCAAGACTATTATCCTGTTTAATAACTAAATTGAGAGGAGAAATCCAGTGATTCACTCGCATCCGAGGCACAGCTGCAAGACCAATTCTTAACTGCATCTTGTGTACATCCCGCAAGACCACAACAAGTGGTTTTGCTCAGTATGATATTCTCAGAAATGCTTGCAAGTGCCCCAAAGGCTGTTTTTAGGCTCAGTTACCCCATCAGGTCATTTAAACGGTTTGAGCTGCCTGCTGCTCCAAGAACAGCTGGCCCATCCATCAGAAGTGGACATAGAAGTGTCCTTCACCATGCTGAGGAAACACCACACATCTTCGTATTTCTGCTTGCTTTACACTATTGAAATAAAAGACATTTTTGCTGTAGAGACAGCTGTGGCATGCTTCATCAAAAATCCTATTCAAGCCATGGCACTAAGCCAGTCAGATTCAGCTTTCATTTACAGCAGCAGCGGGCTAGGGATAATTCATGTCACTCACGTGAATTTGCTCTGCTTTCAGAGACTCAGCCTCTGAGGAATCCACCCGAACAGGTCTGATTTTCTCTCAAACACACTACTTCAGATACATGCAATTACAGTGATGTCACCAGTGTTAACTGCGATTTACACTTGCCTGAGATCAAAACTAGATGCAGTGCACTCACAAAGAGGGGTGTCTGGCAAGACACGGTAAAATACAAAGGGTCAACTCTGCTCTTGCAGATTATGGGTCTCACAAATCTCTATTTATCAGTGAAAAACATAATAACCATGCATTTGCAGGTGTTGAGTAGAGGATTCACCAGTTTTTCCAGTTTGCCATTATTTTCCTGCCACTACATCAATTATTATCTTAGCCTCAGATGTCAAGTCTTTCTGAGCCTATTGGCTCATTTCCTAAAAGAGATAATAAATCCTTATTTATTGTTTATGCAATTTTAGCAAATACACCAGCATCCCAATCTATAATGGAACTGCCTTCTAAAACCAACTCAGGGTTCTCATGATGACTGGGTTTTGATGTTTACAGAAAATTAGAGCTTAGATAGTAAACTGATATTAGCTACATATTCCTGCACAGCTATACAGTAATCATCTCTCAAATTCCATCTATTTCTGGAGTGCTTAAGAGACTGAATCACACAAAGCCATCCAGTTCAGCAAGAAGAGAGGTGATAGGGGAAACGGAGGAAACTACAGAAGGTGTCTTTACTCTGGGTTGATCCCATAACTACAGGAAGACCAGCAACTGCAAGGAAATAGCAGCAAGACACAGGCTACCTGCAAATCCACCACAACATGAACCAACACATCCAATCAGAGCAGAGAGAAAGGGGATGCATTACCTCCTTAACAGGGCTGGGAGATGCCCCTAAATGATTTTACCATGGGTGAGGCAGATACAGCAGCACTACAGCCATGCCCCGCAGGGTGCTAAGCCTAACTGTGGGATGCTGCTCTGTGGAGCAGCAAGCTCCTTCCTCCACAGAAGCATTAAAAGCTGCAAGGTGTGCTCAGGGGTAAGCAGAGAGGTGCAGCTATGTCCTCTTACAGCAAGGATGGTGACCAACAGATATGGTTCTCACCCAGCCAGGGATGGAGATGACTGGTGTGGCCCTGACCCTAATGCCCAACATACAGCTCACCATGAAGTCCTGCAGCAGCTGGGGCACATCAGGCTCTGGAGATTCACATGAAAGGGTTTCCATCTTTCTACAAGCTGAATACAGACTCTTTGTTTCCTTCCTCTCTACTGCTGGATGATCCAAGTTGTAAATGACAAACCCAGAACACTAAGAAGCCACAGTGATACCTGAAGCTTTATGGGCTGACAGGAGTTCTGGGAAACTCAAAAGGACCAAACCCTGAAACAGGAAACCCTAAGTTTGGCTAAGTTTTTTCATGTGGAAAGGGGTTAGATTTTTTATCTCCTCTACAAAGTAAAGGCTACTCACTGATGCTGTTGCTGACTTAGGGGGGAAGGATTAAATTGGTGTGGCTTACTCAGTCTAAAGAGATAGTTGTGCTATTACTGTAATTAGCAGCTGCACTGTAGAGGAACTGATAACAGCCAGCCAACATAAACCACTGTCAGCTGAAAACTGGCCTCAGCAATCTGGGGTTTGGAGCTTGAACTTTTTACTTCTGGGAGTAAAAAAGGAACAAAGGGCATTTTGGTTGTGTCTGTTGCTCTTTTAGCCTGGAAAAGTCATAGCCAGCATCCTAAAACATGAATTTTACCAATGCTTAGACTTTAATATATGCCAGCGTTAGTTGGTACTTTGAAAGGGAAAACTTTTTAAAGGGCAATAATGCATGAAAGGAGATGCATGCAAAGAAATACAATCTTAAACAATACTAAAAATAAATGTAGCTTAAAAAGATCCCTTAAAAACAGCTGTTGACGTTAGAGATTCAATTAAAACATAATTAGTTATACCTTCTCCTTTGAAACGAACAAGCATATTACAGCCTTCATCTACAATGAATTGCCTTTTACATTCATACCTTGCTTTTGCCTGTAAAAAGGGCAGGTTTTACAGGAAGCGTTGTAAAGATAGGATAGTTCCACCTAAAATTTTATAGTCAAAGAAAACAAAGTGATTTTTTCAACCTACTGATACAAAGCGATATTTATTGTATTTGCAACGTTTTTAAGATACGTTAAGAACACAAGTGTTCTTAAATGCACAAAATAGAAGAAAAGGTGGAAATAAATGGATGATGGATGGTGCCTGCAATAAATTCAGATTCTGAAATAGGTCACTAAAGACTAAATCAATCTGACTCCTTAATTGTGATTTACCTGAAAGAGTAACGCAATGTAAACTGCTCACCCTGCATGGATTTGTACAGGCAATGTGCAACCAACAGCTTTCCCTGGGGCTAATGCTTTATGGAAGCACCACTGACCTGGTTTTCTAAGGAAACTACATGGATGTTTTCAATTCCAGCATGGAACTGCAGCCTCAGTCATAGCCATCAAACTCTGCATTAGACATTCATGCAGCATTAGGCATCCCGTAGCTGCCAAAGGCCACACAATGAGACATTGTCTGACCCAAAAGTCATATAATTAGGCTGATGGGAACACCATCAGCGGATGGTGCATTGAGCATATCCTGATTCTGGATAGGCCATTCTTTGGCAGTCTGACTACCAGTTAGCTGAGAAAGAAGTGAAGCCTGCTATTAGCGACAGACAACTTTGCTGCTAAGCCAGAGGGACGATGAAAAGGACATTTGGCTTGAAAATCACCACTGGGGAAAGGAAGGGCAGCCATGTTGCCAGAGACAAACAGCTGACCTCACTTTTAATTACTTTTTATTTTCACAGAGGGGTGACCCTGCCTTCTGGAAGGCATCTCTTTAGCTAGAGTTCCAGCGGTTTGCTACACCAGCTCGGTAATGGCCCAGCATTCATTATAGCATCTAATACCAAAAGGCTACAGAGGCAGCAGTCAGCAGGATGAACACAGAGCTTGTGTCCAGGCGAAGTGTGAAATTCCTCTCATTAGCAGCGCTGCACGTTTATGCACAGGCTCTCTCCTTGAAAGGCTGACCTCCTGCACAGCCAAGAAAGAGCTTTCCAAGAACCACGTGACTCCAAAGATTGAGGATGTTTTCTGGCAGAGTGGGGTTTAAATTCAAATTACTCACAGAAACTTACGTTTTTGTGGCCTGAAATCATCTTCAACTGTGTCAAACACGAAGCGGTTTCATAATTGCATGTGACTGCTTTTCTTTTTTTTAAGTAAGTGACATAAGGAGAAAGAAATATGAATGTTTATGAAGCTTTAAAACTCCCCCCTGCACTTGCACAACAGTTGCAAATATTTCCAATAAAAATATCTTGTGACTTAGATTTCCAACAACAACAAGTGCATCGAGTCATTCCAGAATGTCATCAGTCTTGATAAAGCAATACAGATAGCAACTGCACTCACCTTATTGTCAACTGTGTATTCAACATTACAAAAAAAAGAGTTACATTTCCTAGTATTTAATCACAGTGAGGCTCAAATTCCAGTTTTCAGATATTCCTGCCGTTTTAAAACATGTGGCCTAAGACCTGCACAGCTGTACTCATATCATTATGCAAACAGCATCCCAGCCATGAGTAGTAAGAATAGATCTTATTATCCGTATAAATTACAAACAATTTCACAACATCAATTCCCTTCCGATGCTTTGTGACGTAAGACATCACCCCTCCCATCTGCCTTCATCCAGAAAAAGCTCTCTTCAGTAACAGCCAGCAAAATGCACAGGGATTACTCCATCAGTGCTGTACGCTTCTTTATAACTATAACGTTTTAGCATCCATTAAAAAAGGGCGACACATTTTAAGGTGTTAGTAACGTTACACCAGAGGAAGCAGGAAAATTGGTAGCCCAAGTTGCTTTTCTGTATCCTCAACAAAGACTAGCAGGGACCTAGGTATAACACTGGGATCTCGTATTTCTCCCACATCAAGGCTACCACACCTGTGTGTACAACAGGAGGAAGGGAGATTCTTACACTTACAGTGTAAGATTGTTCAGATAACATGTAAAACCAGGTATCTGGGAAAAAAACTCCACACAGATTTCAAATACAATGTAGTTCCGTGTTTGTTTGCTCTAGACTAATGATTCCCACACGCTGGCTACTGTGAACTGATTAATTACAAAGTATCAGTAATAATATTTGTACTTACATCAGGACTTCAACCTCAGGATTCTTCAATAATGTCAATTAATTAAACTTCACAATGCTGCCTGTAAGTAGGTGTCATTAGTTCATTCACAGATGGAAATCCTGAAGCATATAAAAGGTAAAATTAATTAGCTGAGATGATACAATGACTCAGTAGCAGAACTGAAGATCCTGAAAAACACTGTTTTGTTCTAACTCTTAAAGGGAGGTGATTTACTTGCCCTTTACAGTTAATTTGTGGAAATAATTTCCCAATGTATATCAGGAACTTCTGTGACTCTATCAAACCCACTGTTTCTAGATCATGCTCTCGTTGAATTTTCCCTTTCATTAAAATAGCTTCTACTGTTTAGTACACCCATCAAAATATAAAGAACATCAAAAGCAAATAAAACCTGTCACAAGATCTATAACAAACTGGAGCATGCTACCATTTTCTCAGGTCTGAATTATGGCCCTTTTGTGGAGGGTAAAAGTGAATAAAACATAAAGACAAGGGACAAAATAGGAGACGTCAGACTATTCACCCATTCACGGCAGTCACATTTACAAGGCAATTGCCATTCATACTAATGTAGAGTGGGCACACAATTCTACCAGGTATGAAAGGCAGAAGAGCCCTTACACATGAGAGGAAAAAGCACTTCACTGTATTTCATCTCCATCACAAGTGGAAAACCAGTAACGAGTAACATCAAAAAATCTCTTTTTGTTCTCCATTTGTAACTAACAAGAAACTTCTCTTGGTGCAATCTTATCAAAGGCCATAAATTTCTCGAGACAGCTAATCAATCTAAGCTAATGTAGTGGTAAAGGTGTAAGACGCATTTAGTGTGAATATATTAACTGACTGATTTTCTTAACCAACAACCTTCTTACCAGCTATAAGTTGCTACAAAAGCTATGACAAAATATTTCCTACAAAAAACAAACAAACAAATAACAAACCCATATTAAGGAGTTTGCTAAGGAGAAATATTATCTTGTGCCTTAGGTAAGATTTTATATGCAAACAAACCTTATTTCCCAGAGTTTAATTTATGGGCCAAATTAATTCCTGATCAAGAGGGACTTCTGCTATTGGGTTCATGGAGCTCAAACCCCAGAAGAAAACAGCCTAGAATGAATCCAAGTAATTCCTGCAGCCACACCTGATACTCCTTAAGTAGTAGGAGGATGGCGGGTGGCTAGAGCACCTCCCATATGAGGGCAGGCTGAGAAACTGAGAGCACTGGGGCTGGTTAGCCTGGAGAAGGCTGTGCGGAGACCTCATAGTAACCTTCCAGTATCTGAAGGGACCTACAAGGATGCTGAAGAGGGACACTTCATCAGCAATCATACTGATAGGACAAGAGGTAATGGGTTTAAACTTAAACAGCGAGATTTAAGGAAGAAATTATTTACTGTGAGATTGGTGAGACACTGGAACAGGCTGCCCAAGGAAATTGTGGATGTGCTGTCCTTGGAAGTGTTCAAAGCAAGGCTGGACAGAGCCTTGAGTGACATGGTCTAGTGTGAAGTGTCCCTGCCCATGGCAGGGGGTTGGAACTGGATGATCTTAAGGTCCTTTCCAATCCAGACCATTCTATGATTCTAAAGCCAAAAATTCAACATAGAATCATAGAATCATAGAATCGTTAGGGTTGGAAAGGACCTTAAGATCATCTAGTTCCAACCCCCCTGCCATGGGCAGGGACACCTTACACTAAATCATATGATAGAGGCTATTTACCAGGACTGCACAAACCTTACGGACCAGGCTCTATGGTATTCACATTATTGTGCACATACGCAGGTATATATCTAGGGCACAGTCAGAATTGCACATGCTATAGGTGTACAGATAAAATTAAAGAATAATCCATATACCAAATGCTTAAGTGGTTTTGATACAACTTCATCACTATATAAGCACATCATGATAGAACCTAATTCACCAAAAGTAAGACAGAATAAGCTTTTTACATTTTAATCAAAGTTGGAAATTAGATGAGATGTAATTAATTTACATATCCAACTGTGTAAGCTTCATTAAAATCCTTAATATCAAGTAATAAAACTGCAATAAAAGTTTTTCTGGTATTACAGTGTGTTTAATGCACTGAAGAAGGAAAGACTTTATAATCCATGATTTTCTGGACAATATTAAGCAGTCACCTGTGTACACAAGTATATATTAAATATATGGTCACATATATATATCTATACATACTTTTTCTGAGAACAAAGCAAGAGAACACAGCAGTTATGAGTGTCTTCCCACATCACCCACCATCGGATAAAGCACTTCTTTACCTGCAAACTCAGGTCCCTTGGCATTTGCCAGTTTGATTAGTGTAAAAAGGTAAATCAGGAATTCAAACGATCATACAGACTTAACTACCTTAGCTTTAAAATGCTCTTTGTTTTCTAATTAAAACATCTCTACTAGAGAGGCAACAGGTACAGGAAACACAAATAAGCAGAGGCAGGGTGAATAATTACTTTTTGCTATTTCTAGATCAATTAAATGCAACACCCAGCAGTGTGCTCTTCCAGCAGCAGAATTCCCATTTACTTCAGGGACAGTTCAATTTCCAAAATGGCAAGACAAGGAGAATGGAGGGAAAAAAAGAAGGGTGAGGGGTAGAGAGGAGTAAGAAACATCAAACAATACGCAATTTAATTTAAATACCTTACTGTACTAGATTCTTACCACTAAATTTAAAGTTTGCTTTTAAGTCTCATTTCAATGGATTTGCAGAAAAAATATCTAAAGAGTTAATTTAGATTAAATTGATCATTATAATTTATTTTGTTAAAATAATATAGTGGAAAGGCCTTTCTTCCACTGAAGGGTTCTGGCTTTGATGTCTGATTGTTATGCAAATTCTGTGGAGTACAAGATATGGACAGAGGAATAATTAAGCTCAGGACTTGGTATGCAATAATTCTTACAGATGTAAATGTACCTTGTTGGAGATAATGATGTGTATACGCACTGGGAACAGCACACGTACATTAGCAAAGGCAGAAAAACACTCGGAAGGTGCAGGTCCTCGCAGATCCCTCCAAGCAGCAGGCTGGGCAGCAGGGCCAAGCTGGGCACATTGTGATGGGGACATCTGCACCCCTGAGCACTGCCTCAGAGCCTCTCATGGAGCAGTTTTCAGCACCAACACATAAACATTTGGCAAAACAAAGTGATCTTTGTTCTGGAAGATAAACATTGACCGTATACATCTATATGTTTCAAAGCACTCAATTAGAAACTGAACTTTGCCCCTTTCTCAGGCTTTGAAATATTCCTGCACCAAACATAGGACTTTATTCTTCTTCCACACGGGCATCCCTCTCCTGCTCCCATACACCATATGGCCCCAAACCCTGGGACAAATTCTGTGCTGATTTATGGCCTCTGCAGTCTGAGGGACTGACCTGCAGCATAAATCTGGGGCGCAGCACAAATGTGTAGCCTGCACATTCCTACACACACTCATCTATACCAGCCAAAGACAAGGGATTTAAAACCACACTCACCGGGAACAGATTTGGGTCGGGGGCACATCATTGTAACCCAGGATAAGACATAGCACAATGGACCCTGCATGTGCCAGCACACCTCTGAAAACCTGCCAACAGAGGGGAACACACCAGCCCTACATCAGAACTGCTGCGGGTGGATGCTGCTGACCCCGCCAGCGTGCTGGGCGGCAAAGGGCTGGCTCTGCTGCTGCCACCAGGCAAAAGCATCATTGGACACCAAAGCAAGAGTAATCCAGACCAATCCCTCTGCAGGCAAAATAATTCCCAAAGAGAAATGAACACAATCAGGTTTTAAGGCACTGCAGCCCATCTTCCCATCTCTAAAATGACTTGCACATGGAGCATTGGAGCATGCAAAAGGGGTGAAACAGCATACAGAGGCTAAAAAGGCCGCCAGAGCCACAGATGAAGAGAGGATTGTCTTTGTTTCAGCCACAGCTTGGTAAAGAAAATAGCAAGTGAAGTCCTGCAGGATGAACACAGACGATGAGGTGGTGACATTAATGAGGGGCTCAGCACTGAGCAGGGCAATGCCCTGTCACACCGCCCTGTCCATAGCGTTTGTCAAGCTGCTACACAAGTGCAGTTCTCCAGAGGAACATCGGCAGCTCACAGCCCTCTGTACCACTGCTGTCAACATCACGGAGACACAAAGCATTGGACATTAAGGGGGAAAAAAAAAGGAAGGAGAATTTAGTTTTCACTTGCTGTTCACCCTATTGACCTTTTGGTTTCACTAAGCTTGAGAAATACAAAGTGATCAAACTCACTTTTTTATTCATACCCATTTTCACAACTTATCCCAGACAAGAGCACAGGATGTTTACACTGAAACAAGAAATTGATTGACGCATTTTGAGTACATTTCCTAAACACCCATCATTAAGAAAATACACATGTGGACTTAAACTTCCTGATCCTTTTGAAGTAACTGATTTTGCCAAGGGTTTTTTGGTCAGTATCTGTGCCACTACTGTATTTAAGCACACCTTCTCTGCCACTCTCTGGATTCTCTTCCACAGCACTGGGTGGGGTCTTTTTTACCCATCATTCAAAATGACAAGCTTCCTGACACAAATGCAACACTCAAGTGAGAGATTTTAACTCTATAAATCAGATGATACCACAATCACAGTTCAATGAAAGAAGCAAAAATCAGATCAAATCAAACAAAGAGATCCCATCATCCCCTGCCGCATCCTCCCTCCTCCCCCTTCCCACCCAACCAGCAGCTCTGGAGTCCATAAAGGAGATCGGAGCAGAGCAGCTCTGGCACACACTGCTAAGCACAAAGTAGGATATATGAAATACGCTACAGTTTAGGGCTTGTTTTGTTGTTTGCACTCTCCTGCTGAGAAGTGCACCGGCACATGCACAAAACCAACATTTAAAGTGATCTGCAGCTACCTCCTGAAATATGCTCTGACACGCTCTATCCAGCAAGTTCATTCAAACACGTTGACTACAATCAGCAAC